GAGCTTCCATTTTAAGGATATATGAGATCTGGCTGGAAGAGGAAGGCCAAACTGTGCCCAGGCGCTGGCATGGCATCTTTCCTTTGTAACTTGCTTGCCTTGAGGGTGGCAACCCAGGGGAGGATCTTGCTTTGCAAAAACAAGAGGAGAAGGCATGTATGTAAAACAAACAGCCCCTGGGAAAGAGAGAAAAGGAGTCCAAGTACTTACAGAAAACACTGCAGGAGAAACCTAGCATGATTAAGGGAAGGAAGTATGTGACACAGTGTATTATACTACTGTTGCAAAGATACAGGAGAACATCTTCAGCATATAAATCACAGAACATTCCTCTGAATGTGAGTACTGTACCTTCTCCAACCTGGTGCTCTCAAAGATGTTTGGGCTTCCAGTTCTAGCAGCTGCGGCTACCATGGCCAATGGTCAGGAATGCTTGAAGCTGTAGTCCAAATCATCTGGACAGCACCAGGTTGGGGAAGGCTGATAGAGAGATAAATGCTGAAAATAACTGGTGGAAAAGCATGGGCATAGCTGTTTCAGGAAGGAATGAACATCTAGCTCATTCAATAGTCCCGTGATTTTAAAGTGAAAGGATGCAGAAAGCATCCTTATGGACTCCCACACTTAAGTTCCACAAAAGCTTAGAAAATGTAAACAACTTTAAACACCTGTTTTTAATGTGGATTTAGTCTATTTAAAAAAAAAAACAGTTTCTGAAACAAATCGGGCAAATACACTGAGAAAGAGCTACTGCTATGTCTTCTAATAACATGATTAAGCTACATTTTCTAGAGGAAAACCACTAAAAATAAAGCTAGAGTTCTGCTGTGTTCGTATCTGTCGGTCAGAATATGAGAACAATAAAGATCACATGCCAAGTCTAAAGATAGCAGACACATTAGAGAGTTGATGAATATCTTCAGTAGATTAACTCTACCAGAAATATTGAATAATAGAGAGGGAAGCGATAACAGATCAAGTAATTGAAACTGCCGCTGCTTCTTCTACCTTAGCATTTTCCTGCATCCCATTCACATTTAGGATCCCTTGCCTTCAGGCTATTGAGCAGTATAAAATATATTTAATTGATTGATTGACTGAAGTAATAAAATGATCCTGTTTTTGCTCCTTTTCCAGGAGTAAGGCGGCAACTGCTTCTTTCCACAGGTTCTGAGCTCATGCAGTAATCCACTATGATATGCTTTTGAAGTGTAGGAGCACACCCACTGCAGAATTTCTGAGCCATGTTCATGCAACAGGACTTTTTACTCTTGCAGCTGCTCTTCAGAATGTGCAACCACACTGTATCAGTGGTGTCTCTTTCTGCTCCTTCATTTTCAAGTAGACATAATTAACCTTTTAATCTCATGTTGTATATGGCATCCAAGTACAAGAGCCTGCCAAGTAAGGATTTCAGTGTGACAAATATTTCAGCCTTTCACAAAGTTAAAATTCACCAATCCTTATGATCCGAGGCTCATTTGGAATTCCTTGTTTAATTATCAATGCCTCCAATCATTTGTGGAGTACAAGGAATTTGGAACTCTTACTTTAAATACAGATTACTTTTGAATGACTTTGTGTAACAGACCAAATGGAATTGAATAGCCAGTGCTGCTAAGCAGGATTATATTTCTTCATCTTTGCCGCTTCCGTAAATAATGCAATACAGAATTCTTCTAAAGATGCACTATGACTGCATCTTCAACTATTACAGTGTTATGCAACTGAGCATTTGAACTACAGAAGGTGGACATCCCAAGAAAATTATGCATTTCAAAGATATTGCTATGTTTGGATAGTATCACAAGGCAGACAACTGGTACCCTGCCCCAATGTTCATTTATCATGAATGCGAAATGGTGTTCATTACAATGCCACATCTCTTCCAGAGTATAAAATCTATGTGCCACAAAACCAATTCTGACATAAAGGACTTCTTCCCCCCCACCCGCCTTTGAGATAAGCATTATGGATGCAGAAGCCATATTCCTCCAGACACAGCTGGACTCCCATCGTCCCTAAATGTTGGCTGTGTTGGCTGTAGCTGATGGGACTTCCACACCATCTCAAGAGTCACTGGTTCTGCACTTGGAACTTGTTGTAAAGTCACAGAACATATAAAACAGGGTCTCCCGCTTACAGAATATTCATGGCTAGTACAATTTAAAGACTAAGCAGCAGCTTCGTCCAGCTCTTGTTTAAACCGGATCAGAATGATATGTAGTTCGATTTCCATTTTCTACCTATTCATTGCAGTTAAGCTGTGGGATTCTGTAATAGGTGTTTGGAAGCAGTTTTGGGATGGATGAGGGCAAACAAGCCAATGCTGAAGCCAGCCAGGATGGACGTACTTTGGGTTAGGAGAGGGATTCAACTTGCATTGGTCCTGGATGGAGTTGCACTTCTTCAAAGCCATTTTTGCACCTTCTGCATTCATTGCTGACTCCAGTAGCACAGGTGGCAGAGTAGCCAGGAGTCTCTTTCACCAACTGCAGCTGGTATGTCAGCTGTGCCTCTTTCTAGGAAAAATTGAGCTGTTCTCAGTTATGCAGGCTTTAGTTCTATCCGGCCTGGAGACTGGGCTGCTGTGCTGCGCTCTGAATGGGGCTGCCTTTCAAGATGTCTCGGGAATGTCAGGTGATAAAAAGGGAGGCCACTGGAGTCCTCATTGGTCATGTCATATTACATCAACGGTGCACCAGCTGCCCTGGTTGGTTTTGACCTTTAAAGCACTGAAATAAGTATTCAGGTTATCGGAAGGACTCCCTTCACTGCCTGTACTTCAGAGGCCATGCTTGCTGGTCTGCCACCAAGATCATTATGGAAGATAAACACTAGAGAAGAGGCCTTCTCAGTTCCACAAAATTCCACCATAGCAGAGATATGGCTGTCTTCATCTGCAGACCAAAATGGGCCCCTGTATCCAGCATCTGCATCTTTTAATTCAGAGTGGGTTCAGAGAGCCTGATCTGGATTTGGATCTGTACTGGGGACGATCAGGGGCTTTTAAGATCCAGACTAAAAACACTCTGTCTACTTCAGAGTAAAATGGGTAGGGAGGGGGATAGCTTATAGTAATTGTTTTGGCCTGGGACTATTTTTAAGAAAGTTTAAAAAATTAAGCGCAAACATTTGTCTTCGGCACAGGTTAATGGTATTCTACTATTTTAATTGTTTATATTTAATAGGATTTTATTAATATTTGCATTCTTTTTCTGTTGGGGTGTGACCTTGGGAAGATTAAAGTGGCTAAGTGCAGAATCCTATGCATGTTCAGACGGAAAAACATTCTACAACTCCTTCCACGGTAGCTATAGGACTTTTTTCTATCTAGAGCAGGTTTGGTATCTGGCACTCTCAGGATCTGGATTCTAGTCCACACGTTGCCATGAATCTCACCGGACCACTCACTGACTCTCAGCCCAATCTAACTCACAAAGTTGTTCCGAGGATGAAATGGACAGGGGCAAGAAGACTATGCAGGCACCTTTGGTTCATTACAAGATGGGGGGAGGGGAAGCAGAATATAAATGAAATGAAATAACATGCATAGGACTACAACTAAGATACAGAGAAAAATAAATACATAGACAGAACAAAACTTCGTACATACACACACTGTTGCTCCAATTGGATATATGCACTGAATACTAGCAAACTTCAAATTACAAAAAAAAGGGGGTAGATGCAGACTGGCCTTTCCAGGAATGGGAAGATTCTTCTAGTTTGCAGCCCTCTGAACCACCTGGCTTTGCTTTAGTGTGTCTTCCAAATCTCCAGAACAGATTTTAAGAAGGTACAACAAACTGCTTCAGCCAAAAACAATCAGCCAAATACACTTCCATGGCCTTTTCCCTGGGCCTCAGAACTGTTTATAATTATAAAAACAAGTCACAATTTAACTGAGGATCTCATGTTGGTATTATTTTGTAGCATCCAGCTGGCCTGAAGTGTACTTCAGGAGTCCTCACAGCTCCATAAATATTTTTGGGGAGTATCACAGGATAGCCCACAACATGATGTCTTTGATTCATGCACTTTTTGCCCCCTTTTTGGACTGGTCTGAAACCCTAATCTTTTATGAACTCAAGTATGAGATATTTCACACAAAATGGAAGATGCAAGTTTCCAGTCTTTTCACTTGTTGAGGAAACCGATTATTATTAATAGCCTGTATTGTCTACCTAACATCACAACATAACATTCCAGTGACATATGGATATTATCCCTGTGTCATGGGGTGCTTAGGATCCCAGTGTATATAGGTCTAAAATGTAGTACTTCTCCTTTCCTGATTTGTCAGTGAAACGGTCTGTTAAAAGAACTTTTCTAACAAAAGCTTTTTCTCACTAAAACATTAAAATAACAGGCTTTACTTGGAAGCTTCTACATTGTCTTATCATCTAAAATAAGGTCTACACTGTGTGTAACTTAAATGGGACACCAGCTGATAAAGGATCCAGTGTTGTTCATGAGGAAAGTTCCCACAGCATGACTGTCCAGCCAACAGACAATGTTTGAAGTATCCAAACGAAATTCAGAGGTAGACTGACATAAAGAGAAAGTGTTGTTACCAAATCATAGGAAGAATATTATGGAAAAGAATGCCCTTTATGTACTCTATGCAGATACATGAAGCCATATTATAAGTGGATGATAATTAAACAGAATGGTATTGAGAGTTTTTCTCATGCATTTCTCTAAAAATAAACCTGCTTTAAAATCAAATTATCATATTTAACAACTTTATAAGAGCAGTACTAATCTTATTCTCTCACACTACACAAGCTTTAACAGTGGCTATATTTGTCTCACTTGGCTCCATTCCCCCATTGCAACATTCTTCTGCCTGCAGAGCAGAACAGAGCAAAGCAGAGAAACTTTTAGCAGAGCAACATAAACTCTTGTTCATGAGAGAAGAAAGATCATAGCACTGTATGTACCAAAGTACTCAGCCTCTCAATCCCTTGGGAAAATGAAGCATGCCCGTTGCTTACCTTCTATTGGAGACGTTTTCAAGCGTCTGCAGAGATCCTCAGTGTCCCCATATGTTTCTTTAATTTTTACTACTGCTTCCATTCCTCGAAGTTCCATGAGGGAACGCAGCTCCTGAAGCGTGCACCCAAACTCTCCTGCATGGTTGGCCTCATTTCTTTGGTTCTTTGAATAAAAATCGCTGTTTGTCAAGTCACCCATGGTTGCCAGGGGTATTGCTCCACTCTGTGTGCTATGTACAACTTCACAATTTTCAAGGGTGGAGATGCAAGTTCCAGCCTAAATGGTAGAATGAATCCACTTTATGTTTTCAGTTGAGGAAGCTGTGAGTGATGGATGAGCTTCTGAAAGGGAATCATCCACAAGATGGCCGCCTTCACGGTTGCAAGCCAGTTCCACCCCATTCACCGTTTCCCATTATGCTGCACCCAGACTGCTGGTATCTACATGGTCATCTCTTCTTCAAAGCTGAAGAAACAAATAGAAAGCATACATTAAAGAACTAAGCCATATGCAGTGCAATTCATTCCATCAACCACTCAGGGCGTACAACAGCCCTGTAAAGATGGTGTGAAAACTGTGGCCTCAGCCGGCTCCACAGATTTTCACAGAACTAGCTGTGTCACCCACGAGGCTCTTTCCAGCTTCAGGAGCAATTGCAGCAGTCCTTACTTTAATCAAGTCCCAAGAGCACCAGCTAAATGAGATGGCTCATGAATATTAATAAGTAAGCCATTAGTCCAACAGCCTCGATATGCCTCGAGTAGGGGCTCTCATTCAGACTGCTTTATCAATCTTTCATCTGACAAGAACAAGAAAAAAAGGGGGGACCTCATAAAGACTATGAAGTAATAAAAATTAATTGAGCACTATTACTTATGCTTTCATCTATTATGGAAACTATTTTCTAGGGCAAGAAAAGTTGAAATTGAAAAAGGGACATTTTCATTTTCAATCCTGAATATATTTTAATAAATTCAGCAGTGCAGTTTTGACAGACCATGAAGATAAACAAAAACCCACTGAAGAAGATAAGAACACCTGAGTGCTTTTGGCAAAACAGTGAGACTCGTATCATACTAATAGGAAAAGTTGCTTTCCTTCAGCACCACCTGTTATCTGACTCACCCGCATACTTGATACCCTTAGCACAAGAGCAGAATATTTCTTTGCAAGTTCCCAAGGGGACAAACATACCTAGCTTTAAGGAGCTTTAATATTCAGACGTATGCACGGATGATCTTTGAGACGAACCAGTCAATTTAAGACATTGTAAAATTATGTTCCGTAGAATCAAGATACTAATGAGGTCTGTAGAAATATGCTGAAGCCAGCTACTACAGTATACTATTGAGAATTTAAAGGAGATTAAAGGGTTTTGTTTTGCTTAAAGTGGGTTAGCACCAGAACATAACTTGCTAAACCCATAAAGCTTTGGAAAGCTTTTGCTATTTTGTACAATGGAAAAGCAGACTTTTTCAAATGTTAATATGACTTGTACATAATGGATGATTAGCCATGTTTGGTTAAATATTATTGCAATTTTATTCTCCCTGTCCAACCCACTGGATATCTGGAAAAAAGTCATCAGCTAGATTTTGCATACACATGGATTGTTTGCTATTTAATCAATTATTTCACTCAATCCAGAACCCAGATCTTACTAACCATGTTTTTGCCCAGTGATGGTACTGCCTCACAGTGTTTGTAATTAAGTTATTTCACTTGTCGATTCCTCTCCCACTGCTGATGACTGTAAAAGAATAATGCAAGTAGGCCGTGGTGATAAGCACTCCACTAGACATGATGAGGAAGAAGCATTTTTAGAATGAACTCTCCAAAGATGTGCACTTGGCACCTTCTTTTCAGTGCCAGATGAAGAACCAGTATTTTAATTTTCCCAGTATTTCACTTTTAAACTGCATTTTTATATATCCTGTTTTATTCTGTACTACTGCTATGTTTTTGTGCAGAATCATGGAAATTGCAATTGCTATTATGGTTTTATTCTTTTAAATTAGTGTGTAGGCGCTTCACATTTGTTTAGTTTTAACTGCAGTGGTACCTTGGCTCATGAACTTAATCCGTTCCAGGACTCTGGTCGTGACCCAAACTGGTCGTGAGCCAAGTCAAATTTCCCCATAAGAGTCAATGTAAATAAGGTTAATCTGTTCTGCAACTATTTTTTTTACTCACAAAAATGTGAAGCAAAGTGACAAAGAACAACAAAGATCACAGCCATCTCCCCCTCCCTAGCGATCGTGTGTGGGGGGGAACGGGCACGATTGTGGGCACGCTGGGGGAGAGGCAGGCGCGGGTGCAGGCGGAGACGGGCACACTCGGGCAGGGAACATAGGCGCAATCGTGGCGATCTCCCCCCGCCCCCAGCACAACCACGATCGTGCCGATGGAGGAAAGGCAGCTGTGCTCGCGATCATCACCTGATGCAGAGTTCGTGACCTGTGGCAAAATTTTTATGAAATTTCTGTTCGTGACCTGATTTGGTCGTGAACTGAGGTGTTCGTGAGCCAAGGTACCACTGTATTGTTAACCATCCAGAGCACCGCAGCAATTGGGCAGTATGAAAATGAAATGAATCAATGATTGGGCTCACCTACATTTTTAAAAATTTCACAGAAGCCGCATGGAACTGATAATTTGGTTGCGGAAGTGACATGAGGACAGACGTTTAACCCTCCCCCTTCGTGCCATTTCCCCAATCCAAACTGCATCCCACGTCAAGCTACTATTTGCACCAAGAGACAGTTCTGTAGAGAGGTTCTGATTGTTCAAAGGGCACAGAAATGAATGGACTTCACACTCTCTCCACAAATGAAGCATCGCCACTTGAATGAGCCAATCCATATGGATGTGTGAAGAGGGGAAGAGCCCAAAGGAGACCCGGGTCACAGATTTCCTCTTACACATTTATTTAGCTAGCAATATTTTGCCTTGGGTCTTCTGCCATGAACATTAAGCTGTTGGACTGAATGAGTCTTGCATTGCAGGAAATGTCTAAGCACGAAATCTCACAAGAACCTGGAATAGTCACTGTAGCATTAACAACCCAAGAACTCTATTTGAACATTCATTAGATTTGATTAATTTGTTGCAGGTTTTCACAAGGCTGCCTGCAGTTTCAGAACAGTATTTGATCTGACAAAAACCAAAGATACATTTCATATTGCTATAGAACTGAGTTGTGACTTTGTTCCTTTCTTCATTAGCATTTCATTTCAGCTATGACAGGAACCTTTGCATGACTGAATTCACATAGCCCAAGCAGTTTCTTTTCTTGAGATTGGTTTGTCATAAATCTGCTATGCTATGCAGACACCACAACCATTTGTGCAAAAGTGAAACATTGCTACATTAGAGAAGGAACTCCTGCGTAACCATACTTTCAGCGCACCACTTTCTCTTCCCTACGGCTACAAAAGTTGATGTATATAAGGGACTGAACCTCATCCCATGTTTTTCCATGGTATATTTTTCTATAGGGTAGTCATGTGTGCAGAAAACCAAAGAGCATTTCTTTAGCTTGACATTCCCATCACTTGGTATGAATATTTGTTCCAGCCCTTGTAAACACCACTGTGTCATTTTTGTCAGCCAGTGTTAGCCAATGCTTCTGTTTTCTCACATGCAACAAAATAATTTGCCTTTTAAATATTTTATTTGACCTTCAATTAAATATTAACCAACAAAAAAGCAGAGAGTCTACTTGTGGAACTACATATCTCTTATTAATGTTTGTGTGATGGTTGGGATTCACTTAATGGCATAACCCCCAGGGAAATAACATCTCTTGTGTTTTCAGGAGGCATATTGTAAAATGCCGAAAGTGCAGAACATGACTAGCATTATCCACTGATAATGCAGCTTTATAATCTCATGCAACAAGATATGCAAGTTTCACTTGATCCTGAAATCTCTTTTATGAGAAGTCCAGGAACTCTGCCAATGTGCCTAGCAGTTTGCTGTGACTGAAACAAACGCTACCTTCAGACTCTCACTCGGTGATTAGTGTGATTGCTTCACAGAAATGAAGGCATTTAAAACAAGGGACCAACCACTGGCAAGTCTCCAAAAACCTGGACCAGTGAAGCCCTAGAATGTGCATATTAAAAAAAGAAAGAGATATAAGTTCCTCCTTTGATTTACCTACAAAGAAAACTAACACAGATAGAATTATTTCATTTTGCCTATGTGGAGTATGAATCCTAGTCCTCCTCTTAAAGTGTTGGGTCTCTGCTTTTAGGCTGCCATATTGAGTTGATCAATTGGCTAGCTGAATCCTTAATGGGATTTTGTAGGGTAGCAGCTTGATATATCTGTAGGCCATAACCCAACCTACCATTCAATATTGGGATGAGGTCGAGGGAGGGCTGTTATTATCAAAAACATCCTCTGTGCTAAGAGGAGCTTCAGAACCGGTTTGTGCCATGCCATGGACAGCTATTTAACACAGGAGAGCCCTGCCACAGGATTACCATTCTCCGGCCTCGTACATACCAGATGTGTCAGACTTCAGCTCTCAACCTTGCCAGCGAGAACTTTAGCCCAACACATCTGTGGGACACAAGGTCAGGAGAGACAGCATTAGACGGATGCCACCACTGTGTAAGTCTAAGCAGTTATTCAAATTTCATGTATTAATTTGTATCATTTTATTTTTATGTTTTTGTTATAAATGTGTTAAAAGTCGCCACTCAGCCATAAAAAGCAACGGAAAGAAAACAATCCATATGTTTTCTTCATTTCTGAAAACTAGTCGGAGCTGCCTTACATTCCATTACCGGCCATGCTTGTACAGAGAATTATGTGAATAAAGATATGAAGCACTGAGGCGCTGCCACCACTATTCTCCTGGTCTGTAACAACAAAATAGGGATTCCTGATTCTCTCATTCTTTCTCTGCCCAATTTAGAAGAAAGCTCTTTGGCAAAAGGAGTCTGTCATGATGTATTTCCAAAGTGTCAAGTAAATGACCTCCCATCTCAGCTGAGGCCTCTAAGCACTATCCTAGTACAGCAAATAATGATTTCTTCTCAGTCTGTCTTCTTTTGCCTCAAATTGCTCTGTCACAGTTGCCAGCAGGCTGTACTTAGAAGGAAGATGATGCACTTTAGGACGCAAGGGGATGCCAATAAAAGGAAAATTAAGCAGGTTCTGCAAACCTATGCTAATCTTGTAGTCTC